AATTGGAAAATGATATCTGAAACAAAATTGTAGCTATTTGAATTAGCTTTCTAATGCACTTTGAATTGCCTTAATCGGAATTAGGAAAAATGTTATGATAAAAAGATTAAATGTTGTGCAGTGCAACCGAAACTGATAGCAGCACCTAGACGCTATCCCTCAATACCCAAGCGCTACATTGCTGAATTTTTTCTCGAAACTCAGTGCCCAAGCACCTAGTCGTAGCGCCTAGGCACCGCTTCACGTACAGTTAGAGTTTTCCAAGTTTGATTCATCTTTTAAAAAGCCCAATTTTAATCATACTCTTCAATGATTTAAAAAGAATGAATAAATACCAACTTAAAGGCCACTTTTTGGAAGAGAATTCAACCTGGCAAGAAGAGTTACACACAATTTGGGGGAGAGAAACCTCATGATCATCGAGATCAAAGAGCAAAAGCTAAGGTTTGAAAATTTTATTATCGAGATCAAAGAGCAAAAGCTAAGGATTGAAGACTTTTGAGATTGAAGAAGAGTCTTGGTGCAAAATCCAATTATTTTCAAGATCAAGATTTCAAAACCCGATTATGAACTCTATACTTTTTGTTTTTTTTTATCATTATGAGTAACTAAATTCATAGCTAAGGTGTAATGTATGTGTGACCCTTTATATCTTGTATTCAAGATTCTAGTTCCTTAAATGTACATGTGTTGATTTTATTTATGAAATTAATGTTTTGAATTCTTTGGCCAATTATTCAATGATTTAGTGAATCTATTAAAAATAGAGAGTTGACTTTTAGATTTAGAACACAGTAAAATTCGATAATTTAGCATAACATGTAAAGATATCTATACTATTTATTGAGATCGTTAGATAAATTTTTAGAACTAATATTTTGTTTAATTAAAATTGATTTGCATAGAAATATGAGATATTTGGAGTATATATAGTACGCAACAAAGTTTACTTGTATTTGATGCAAGATAACACATCTTACTTTGTTATTTCCCTATTAGTTCCTAAAACGATATTCAAAGCATATGTGCGACCTTTCACAATATGTCTAATTTTAAACATCTTTATTTTTGCCAATTTTGATTATCTGCATATCCAATTATACTCGTCACGTGAACACTTGGCAAGATGATTTTTCTTGTCCAATCAAACAACCATATATTCAAATATATTTAAAATTGCATAAAAGGACTTATTTAGCTTCAAAATCTTTTTGTCACAAAAAATCTTTTCTTTTTCTACATCCATAGCATCAGTGACGATACAACCATGACTTCATGTTGAAAATTATGACATGATGGTTCTACTATTGCTACACATATATTTGATGACATATCCAGTAATGAAATTTCCTGTTCATTAGATTGTGCACCAATTGGTACCATGGCAAGCTGTTTTTCGCTATCTGCAGTTGTGACCTTAATGTTTATTGGACATTTGGAAGGGTCACGATCCATATCCTTCAACATCATGTACGACCACACATTATTGCCACTCTTGATTATGAGATCACTATCCAATACATACTTCATTGTGACTGCCATCTTAGCAGGATCCAAATCAAACTCTGTCATGACTGTATCCACAAGCTTTATATGCCTGTAATTACGATCGATCAACACTAACAATAGCCATGATCCATTCAACAAACAAAAGTGAAGATATACCATTTCTGCAAAATCAGCTTAAATAATGTCAATCACAGATATAGTTCTAAGTCACAACATACGCATGTCACAGTTTCGTATTTTTGGTCACAAATCAAATAGATGCAAGTCACATATATCATGTCAAATTTTCATATTAAATTACACAGCATGAGCACTAATGGTCACAACCTTTTGCACATTACATTAGATTAAATTGGATACATAAAGGTCACATATCAATTCACGATCATATACATCAAAATGAATTAAGTACGTATACATCTTATAACACAAAACAATATTCAATTACATATGATCCACTAAATAATGTGCATCAGAATACCATTTTAATTTTTTAAAATGCAGGTAACATATTTTGAATTCAAGTCATTTAATAAAATAAATCAGGTCATCGACTCTTTGTTATAGTCACAACACAATCACTGATAGTCACAAGAATGTTCATACAGTTCACACAATCACATTGTATACATACAAGTTACATATTTTACTCGTGAACGTAACTATCGATACGGGTCACATACATGAGCATTTATTCATATGCCAAAGGTTTTTAACGTGATCTATTATATGAATTACACCGGCTTGAATTGTCTGATTATTATCGATTCACACGGTTCCAGCAACATATATTGATCGATCATTGATTAGAACGTTAAAACAATACACAAACATAAAATTCAGTTAATTAGAACAGCATACCCAATTAATATGAAATTATTGATTTCAATGACGATTGATGTATTAAAATCTGTGTCAAGAATTGTCAAATTATTCAGATATAATGTGACGGTAATTCTCAAATTATGACTTCAATTGTGCGATTACCCAATCACTTAATTGAAACCTCACTAGCAATCTAATAAATAGTATCACTCATTTTTAATACTTATCCACTCCTGCAGGTGATTAATATAAAATATTTTTTATTTCAATAATAGTGATTAGCATTATAAAAGAAGATAATACCATGTTATATATTAAGGATAGCATAAAAGATAATGCATCCATGCATGTTAATTTGATATATTTCTATCCCAAGATTATTTATTTATTTATTTTGACCTTTATACTATTTTTCATTTGAATCAAATAAATTTAAGAACAATAAAAAAATAATAAAAAGTTAAATAGAAACCTTGTAAATCATTGGATCCATATCTCCATTTTTGTATCAAATCCATGACAAATTCATGACTCCAAATAGTAATGTACATAGCATGACACTTAAACAAAATTTTAAGATAATTTGTTGAAGAACCCAAAAATATTGACAATTAGTAGCTAACAAAAAATTGAATAGGAATCAAGTGCTAATTTTACCTATAGAGAGGACTCATCATTTTATGCAAATGTAATGTAAAAATTGGACGAATTGATGTAATTTTCAATTAAACAGAAGGTTAGAAATGCAAGATTTGAGAATTGAAGTAGGGAAAATATACAAGTATTAGACTGCTAGAATCACATTTCATAACTAACGATCTTATAAAATAATTACAAAAATCAGGTGGTAAATGTAATATAATAATATAAAGATAATATAATCTAAACTAAGATAAAAATATATTTTAAAATAGATCCTAAAAAATCACAGATATTTATCACTCTCCTCTCACAATTAAATTTTAAAACTCTCTCTATATTCTCTTGATTTCCAAAATCACTAAAATCTCTCCCTAAATCTTCAATTTCAAGCCAAAATTAATGTATGAAGTTACAATACTGTCACCAGCACTAGCAAATGCACTACAATTTCTAGATCGGAGTTTGCGGATGGCCCTCGTGGAAATAACAGTAATTAAAATAATCATGGTGATGATGTTAAGGGTGAATACTGACTGTGTTTTGTAATGTATGTGACTATCTTTCGTTTAATAGTGGATGTTTGTTATCTGATTTGTACAAGTTTTTATTGTTTGTGACCATGTCTATGTAAGTTATTATTGTTTTTTACTAGACTTGTATTACATTAACTGTAATCAAATTTGTTTCGGTGTGACTGTCTATAATCGGGTCAATCTAAACTTTGATTGTATGTAAGCAAGTAACTGTTAAATTGGTTACATATAGTAACAATTAATATAAAGCTGATTACAGACCACTACAATGAAAACAGACTTGATCACAACTGATCACAATGAACAAAGATGGTCACAGTTAACATATAATAGTCACAAAGTTACATACAATCACAAAACATGTGAGAATTCCACAAATCCACATAACCACCTTTGCTTCCATCTTGAATTCACCAGCTTCTCCTCCACCCCATCACCACCACCACTTGCACCTAGACCAAACATCTACAATCAACAAATACCATGACCACCTCCACCTCCACATTATCAACCTAATCTGTTACAAGTAAAACTCCACTGCCGTCGATACTACCCAAATCGGCCACCACTCTACTACATTCAAATTATCAAAAACCACTATCAAGCACCTCCAAAATTGTGTGCTGCATTGAGTGTCGCTACACACAATGGAGACAAGGTTGGATGAAGGCAGCGGAGGGGGATGGATAGATACCACGTCAATGAACCTCTCGACGCTAATCTGTGTAGTTTTCCTAATTAACTCCTTTCACATTTGGAAGGGTTCGGGAAGATTTCATATAAGGGATTTGTGAAGATAAGGGTTCATGATGCACAGTGAATTGATTTGGAAATATTTTGAATTTAAGCTAATCCTCCTTACTTTTAAATAGTATAATTTAGGGTAATTAACACAAAACGTCTCTACTTTTCATGATTTTTGTGGAAAACGTTCCTACCTTTCGTTTTTTGCGCATTTCATCCCTATCTTTACCTTTTCTTGTGAAAAACATCATTTTCATCATTTTTTTCAATAAAAAGTTATAAAATGACTAATATACCCTTCTATTTAAATTTAAAAAAAATAAAGAACTAATTGCAATCATAATTCAAATTTTTAAAAAAGTTCAAAAGAGGAGGTGGAGGTGGAGATTTTATTTATTTATTTATTTGAAACTATGATTGCATTTAGTTCTTTATTTTTTTTGTTTAAATAAAAGGGTATATTAGTCATTTTATAGCTTTTTATTGAGAAAAATGATGAAAGTGATGTTTTACACAATAAAAGGTAAAAGTAGGAATGAAATGCGCCAAAAAATGAAAAGTATGAATATTTTCCACAAAAATTATGAAAAATAGGAACGTTTTGTGCTAATTACCCTATACTTTATATATAAAGTTTGGGTAATTTTTCACTTTTTCGCATAGAAGTGTTATCTCAATTACTAATACATGATTAAAAGCATATTTGGTTGTAACTTAAATTCACTTTTAAATTACGTAATAACAACATTGACATATAATCCAAAATTTATTAGTCACGAGTAGAAATCTAAACAATTACTACTACTTTTATTTAAAATGAAAAGAAAAAGATGGTAATTATAAAGTGTGTGCTGGTGCAATCTAAAAGCTAGCATGGCATTGTGTTATTGCTTCATTGGACCACTTTGACTGAGTCAAACCAAAAGATTCTGACAAATCAAGAACGTTCATCTTCCCCCTTCTGTCAAATCTACCCGTCCGTTACTTTGCAGAGTCTTCAGAAGCTGGGCCCCTTTTCTTCTCCCTCTAGTACTGCAATTACCATGCATTGCCAACATAACGGCACGCGCCACCTCCTCTGCGGGTGCTAAACCCTCGCCTTCGTCGGCGCCACCGTATATCACTGCCAATACGCTTATAGCGTATTCTTTCGCCCTCCCTTCCGTCTTCCCCATAACCTGAATATATCAGAATCCACATAAAAAATTCAATCTCATGAATCCACGTAATTATGAAACATAGAGAAGTAATTAACCTGCACCATCATTGGCACCGCTAGAGCGTGAGTTCTGACCTCCGCCGCCCCCTCCTCCAGCGTGCATAGCAATTCCAATGCTGCTAATGCCCTCTCCGCCACCGCATTTTCGGAGTCTGCAAGCGCCTCCACCACTGCACCAACGGCTCCCGCATTCACCGCCACCCTTCGGTTAACTTCAGCAAGACAAAGTGCCAGTAAAACTTTGCTCGCCGGCTTCGGTGCCACTCTCTCTCTCAAACATGCTACTACCCCAGTCATCACTGCTGCCGGGCACGTCACTGTGTCGCTGCTTTCGGCAGCGGCGCATTGGTTTGGAACAAGTGACCTCTCAAGCGTGTACATTGCCTTGACCCGATCAGAATTCGACCCAGTACTGAATTGGAGCTCAGCCACGTGGAAAAGCTCTTCTAACTTGGCATTTGAAAGGGGCGGTGGAGGTGGCGGCGGCGGCTGCTGAGAAGAATTTTGTTCGGCTCTGTTTATCTTATTAGCTGTCAAACCCTTAGATGGCACGGTGTCGGGTTCGAGTCTTGGCTGCGATTGTAAATGGTGGGATACAGGCGAGATAGGAAGTGGGAACCTCCATTGAGTGAAGCTTTGGGAGGTGTTTGAGGAAGAAGAGGAGGAGGACTCCGGATGGGACGGAGGCTTTTGATGTGGTGGAGATTCTTGCGGAGGCGGAGGCGGCGCTTCAGAATTAGAGAGCGGAAGCGGTGGCGGAGTGGAGGTGGTGGGACTAAGTGCAGTCTGAGTGCAGTGGCGGAAAAAAGCACAGGAGAAGAGTGGACGTGGGGTGGATTTGAGCTTGGGTTGTTGAGTTTTCATGGCGGAAAAACAGTAAAGGCGTTAGTTTCCAGGATATACACAGCTGTTGTGTTCAGCCCACAGTCATTCACTATATATTGACTGTTATGGGTGTTCTCACCTATACTTAAGACTGGCGATGATCGTGACGTTTTTTGAAGTTTCGATTAATGTTAAGAGGAGATTATACCTAACATTTGTTTCAATGTATTTTGCAATGGTATTACGATGGAGAATGTGGTTTAAAAAAAAAAAATTAAGTTTACGTGTAATATTATTTTATTAAAAAATGTATAATTGAAATGACGTCAAATGACAATTAAATAATGTATTTTGGTTTTTTTTTTTTAAAAAAAAAAGAAGCTCAAACAATGGCGTAATTCTAGTTTCTAACTTATCATTTCAAAAATTAAATGTCAACTCTATTCTTTTAAAAATTAAGTAGAGGAAATTATAGGGGATGTCAATTTTTCCCAAGACATTCACAAAAATGTCACTTTTTTCTTCTTCTTCTTCTTCTTCTTCTTCTTCTTCTTTCATTGTAAGAATGTCAATTTAATATATATTTGCCCCTAAAAATAATTTCAAATTTCCTACATGTCCTAATTAAATGAGATTTGATCCAAAGAAATTGTACAAAAATCTTGTCAATGTTAGTGATGAAAAGCTGAAAAAAAAATAGATGAATCTTATTTCTCTCATTCAAACAACCCTAACTCTCTCACTCTCTCTCATTTCGCTGATTACGGGCCTCGATCCAAGAGAGAAAAATCTTTTTTTTTTAACTCAATTTTTGTAATATTTTCAGCTGTAAAGGGTTTATGAGATACGAAAAAATGGAGTTTTTTGCTGGGTTCAAAATAAGAGCTAAAGTTTGAATTAGAAAGGGGTAAAAATCCTTGTAATATTCTGTAATTTTTTTGGACGTTTTGAATAATTTCTAGCTGTGTTATGGTTGGAAATGTTTTTCCCATACTTTCTACAATTTCATACCATAATTTTTAATTTTCTCTTTTTGTATACATCTCCTATTAGTGATGCATATATGCACATGTTATACATGCTAACACTAATATTGAGGGAAAAAATTATTTAGGGTTCCAGTTTAATATTTGTCATCTTCCTTTGCTTTTAAAGTTCAAATTTCAAGTATTTTGAATGTTTCGATGTTGGGTGGAAATCTGGATTGACACTTGACATATCTTTTGTTTCAATGTTTTTGGTACTTTTGTGATATGGAAATAACATTACTATCACTTGGAATCTATTTGTTGTGAGCGGTACTCGTATTTGGGTTGAACTCTTGCTAGACAATTGACAGCATACCAGTGGTTTAATGTTTCGTTACGCTCGATCGTGGAGTGAAATAATTTTTAATAGTATCTATTTGTTTAGAGGTGAAAAGTAGATTTTTCGATAGTTAATCTGTTGACAATTCACTAATGTAGAGAAATGCCATCGCGCTTAACTGTCGTTCTAGACAGTTAGCCTCAGTAATTCTCGACAGATGAACTGTCGAGAACGACAATTCGATCCTTCCCTCCGCTCAGTTCCACAAGTCAAACTTTGGTTCATCATAATATTGCACGAGTGTTTTGCATGAACATATATGAAATGCTATGATCTCATGATTTTTTGATTGATTTGTCCGTATGTAGTTAGATTTTTTCCATCCGAACATTTCACGGTGACTGATTTGTCCATTTGTGGTTATATTTTTGTGCTTCACATTTTTATTTGTATAATGATGCCATGACCGTCACGATTTATTCTTCATAATTTTCAGATCATATGCAATTCAAATATATTTTTGTGGAAATTGCTTGTTTGAAAAATATGAATGAATTCAGATTACGATGATTGCATGAATCAATTAAGTTATATTATGTACTGTGATCGAATTGTTTTTGTACACAAGGTGAAAGTTATTGCATTTTTTCAACTTGCTTTCTACATACTTTATCTCAAAATACTAATTTTATCAATGTATGATGACATATGAGCATATTCATACTCATGACCTGAACGATCATCAAAGTATTGGTGCACACATTCGTGTTGTAATTGGAGGTGGAACCAATTGATTTCGTTGTCAAAGAAAGAGAAAGCTTCACAATGGTCCACTTCTGATGACTGTGGCAACTGCACGGAAGAACATTTTGTTTTCAATTTATATAATTTTTCATTTGTTGGTTCTATTTATGTTATTGATAGATGAAACTGTTTGTGTTTCGTATAGAAAATGTTTATAATAAGGAATAATAGACAATAAAGAGTAGTAGATTGTCTTTTAAATAGGTTCATGGAGCTACTCCACAGTACAAGACAATGGTCACATAATGTTCGGTACTTGAGCAAGGTCGTATACATAAAAATGGTTTGTAGTGTGTTTTATAACTTTCTTGCTATTAGAACTCGTTCGATTTATCAAATAAAACTAGTATCCAATTGAAAATAAGCATGATTGAAATGAATATTATGATTTGTTTCAATCGAAAACATTCATGAATCACGGTAATATCACTGGACATCATTTTCTTGCAAAACATAACGAGCACTTCTTTGTTTGCATTAAAATGTTGTGTGTACCATGCTTCAATCAAGATAAAATTGTACACATGATTTAATGTACACAATTTTCATAAATGATAGACCAAGTGTGGGTGATACAAGCACACTTAGACTTTAAAAGAATCACACTAATTGTCTTTCAAATTCAATTTGAGATGTGATGAATAAGTCTTCATCGTCGTGTATTTCGACCGGAGGTATATTCAAGTTAAAGACCATGAACTTCACTTCAATTTGAGTGCGGGGATCAAGAATATCAAGTTTGTCCTTCAACATTAACAAAAGTCCGACTATGGTATTACTTGTCGAAACTAGAATAGAAGTTGTTTTGTCATCTCTCTACTTCTATTCGTCATCTGCATGAACAAACTTTTCTCCATGCGACAAAATGAATATCAAATAATTACTCATATCTGAAATATTGGGATTGCAACGATAGGAATTTCGCATAATCAATATGTCGGCATTTAATGGCATGAAAGTGGCACTGCATAATACATAAATCCATACAATAGCAAAATGTCAAATCAAGGCATTCCATCGTGTTTAAGTGTTCGATTTGACAGTAAAACTGTATATCCCGACAGTTTGTAAATGTCCGATTTGACACTTCAAAGTCTAACTTGGCGGTTTGTAAATGTCAAATTCGACAGTTGAACCATCGAAAATATCGAGAAGCAGACGACGGTGGACAGAACAGATTTTTCAACACAACACATTAAGTATGGCCATTAGTATTGAGTTAAATGAAAAAGGTGAGATTGGTTTTGTCATTGAAGAAACATTTGTGAATGATTCAAAAATAAAGAAATCAACGAATAATAGTTTCAAAAATTTCAAATAAATACGTCCACGTTGTATTTAATATTTACAAAACAGTAAGTTGTATAAGTTAAGTATAAATAATTTCTAATAGCTAACTTCTCAAAATAGAATATGAATGCAAGAGAAAAATCTTTTTGATCAATGAAAATGAAGAAGATGAGAAAAATTAGGCTTTGTAAGGGAAGAAGAAAATATATTTGTTTATATTTCATTTTTTAATTTCTTTTACCCTTTTTGATTAACACAAATTCATATTAATCAATATAATACACATTTACCCATATTTTTTTATATATAAAATAAATCATCACATCAACTTCTTCAAATCAACCATTAATTGTTAATGAAAATGTGTCATTAAAGGTAATTTGGACATTTCACACAAAAAGTGACATTTTTGCTCACATACAGTGAAAATGACAACTTTTGGAGCCTTGTTGATTTTGTGACATTTTTGAAAATTCTCCAGTTAAGTATACCATACCCCACCTCACATTACCCCATATCTATCTTTAAACTTATTTTCCCAAGTCACAATTCACCCTGCCACCACGAACCCTCCCACAATTAATGATGTAAATGTTTAGAGTAAACTCATCCCATCATCCCCATCCACCCGCTCATCCTCGTCCCCATCCCCATCCCCAAAATCCACAACCACAAACCGTAGATGATTCATCACCATTCGATATCTACTAGAAGCGGAGAAAATCAGAAGCTGAAACAAGAAGGTGAGGACACGATGTAGAAGGCTGGCTTCGGCGAATGCTCCAATTTTTTCTCTTATCTTTTGGCCTATTTATTCGATGATTCTCTCTAGTGTATTTTGAGATGTGTTTGAAGGTAAAAGTTGTGACGGTGACGGTGACGGTGACGGTGACGATTGTTCGATTGTAGAGGTGGTGGGTGATGGTGAGGTAGGCAGTGATGATTTGGAGTTTCTCGCCTATTTAACTATGGAGGTAGAGGTGGTGGTAGTGAAAGTGACAGTGATTAAACTATGCAGGATATCGTGTGTTGGTAGTGAAGTGAGGATGACAATTTAGGTCTTTTTGTCTTTTAATTGTAGAGGTGGCGAAAGGACCTGATCCATAGAGTGTGAGGGGTTCTTGGGAGGAAGTATTGGCAGTTGATATCCTTGTTAGCACGTCTGGTTTAGTGATAGTGAGGTGGTGATGATGATTTGGTGCTGACGATGGGATGGAGATGAAGGTAGGTTGAGTTGGGATGGGACGAGTTGAAGAGTTGTAACAAAGATGACGATGATGGTGGTGGTCGTGACGGCGATGACATTTGGATGGTGTCAGTAATGGGAGGATGGAATAGAGTGTGATGAAGAGTAATTGTGATTAATTATTTGGATAATTATGACAAATAAAATGAGTAATTTTTAACAAATAAATAATTAAAAATTCTATTTGTACAACCCAAACGTCCTCATATGGAAGGGGCCCTCCATGCGAGGGGTGTAACTACATGTAGCATCTCTCTAAATAATACATGACCTAAAAATATATGATTTGTGACTAAATTTATGATTATAATCTACAATTTATGCCTTTGTGACTGTGATCTTGTGCAATTTAGAGCTAGTTTGTGACTATGATCGTAAATTGTATATTATTGTGATATTGACTTGTTTAATTAATTATTAAGTTACAAAATTGTTATTAGATGGTCACAAATGGAACTAATTGATCCT